TCAAAGTAGACTATCACTCACCCACACCAGATGGAAAACTCTACAGACTGTCGATTCACACCCCATCACAAGCCAGCAAAACATCCACGAAACAAAGAAAGGTCTATATATTTTCGAACAAGGCTAGTCCGACATTGTTTCTAAGTTCTAACATGAATGGTCTGACTATAGCCTTGTCACAAAACAAGAGAGTACAATTAAGAGTTATAATTGAAGGTAACTTGGGTCGACCAAGCATTGTTTCTCAAATGAATGGCTCAGTCCTATGCTCATTTTGAACACTAAGTTCAGAGAGATGTATAGAATTTGGTTGTTAAACAACTTAGGGCGTCTAGGCATGGTTTCCAAGTTGAATGGCTTAGTCTTATGCCCAATGAAGAAAAAAGTAGTTGTGCAACTTGTTCGTGTATAACTAAGGCAGAGAGTTGGACATTGTTTCTAAGATGAATGACCTAACTCAAGGCCCTATGTAAGATGGGGTAAAGGATTAATCATTTGAGGGTTCAACTAACTACTTGTATGTGAAAATAGCTTGTGATTTTTGTGAGAGACTTGCTTGCATGTGTTTGCATGATTGTAAGTCTATAGTCTAAGTTACCTTCTAATAGGTAGTTGTTTTAGATGCTCGTCATGTGCTCAAGCTATAGGAGTTAGTTTGATTTTTACTTTTCAGAGTTAAGTTCGATTTCTGTTTTTCAAAGTTAAGTTTGATTTCTGCTTTTTAGAGTTAAGTTTTATTTCTCATGTTTGGCTTTGTATAAATCTTGGAAAGGCACTTTCGCTAAGGGAAGTGTTGCCCAAATTTTTACAAATCCAAGGATTTAGTTAATTTTTTGTCTTTACAAAATTCAGTTATCTAAATTTCATAAATGACTTAGTAAAAATCCGGGAAACCTACTTTTTCTAGAGGGAGTGCTGCCCAAGTTTCTGCTAAATCAGGGAGTGCTGCCAAAAAAATTGACTTTCTAAAGTCAAAAACATTTTATAGTCTATATTTAGCTTTGTACAAATTTTGGAAAGGCACTTTCGCTAGAGGGAGTGCTGTCAAAATCTCTACAAATCTAAAAAGTTTGTTGAATTTTGTCTTATCAGAGTCTAAGTTTTGTCTTTGAATTTATATCTGACTCCGTATAAATCTGGAAAGTCTACTTCTCTAAAGGGGATGCTGGCTAATTTTTTACTGATTCAGTGAGTTAGAGAAAACTTGACTTTGTAACATTGCAACCGCGGACCTGAACCCGGATATGTCTGGACTGAGACCCAGACATTTGTCGGTAATCCGGACAGGCACCCGACAACCGGACAGGACCGGACCCGGACCGTTCAGACCGGTACACCAGACACACAAATGTCCGAACCGAAAAAATAAAATAAAATAAAATACATTAGTTATAAGCAGTACTAAGTTGCAAACCACAACTTACTGCCTTTCACTATTCACAACTTGACAGCTCAATAGAGTCGATAGTGTCACACAAACATTCACAAAGGCTCACACAACACTAGAAAGCTTAAACCAGTTCTCAACAGAACAATCCCAAGTCACTTCAGAAAAGAGTACGAAAATAAAAAAAAAAACAGAACTTTCAACTTTGAAGTTAAAACTTTCTAATTTATATTTATATGAAATTGAAAATTTAAACTGTTAAGTTATTCAGATCTGCGTAAGAACAGATCGGAGATCCGGTCAGGACCAGAACTAAGATAGGACCTCATATCTGACCAAAATTCTCTCTCTCTCTCTCTCTCTCGATGTTCTGTGGTGCTTTGCAGCCAACGCTTCATTTTCGGAATCGGACTCATCCTCGTCCGATGAATTACCAGCGTAGTACAACCACAGAGGGAGTTGTTGGAGGCGTCTGGCGACATCCGGTAGCCCCTGAAACGACCAAAAAATACCGGGGGCATTTTTTGGGGGCGGTCTAGGACCCGAAAAACGTCCTAGCCCCCCCCCAAAAAAAAAATTGAATTTTTCAAAATTGGGCCCAATGCAAACTTACCAGGCCAGACACCGGACCCATACCCAGACAACCGGACCGTCTAGATTCCGGTCCAGACGTCCGACCGGTTGCCATGCTTTCTAAAGTCGAAGTTTGTTTTCAGATTTCACATTCAGCAAAATTTTGAAAGAGTCACTTCCTCTAGAGGGAGTGTTGTCAAAATTTCTAGTTTCATGGAGTTAGATTAAGGGGAAACTTTTGCAGTCCACCCTATACATGGGAAATGCTGCCAAAAATTTTCCTGATCTCTTATATAATATAGAGTTCAGTTTAGACTTAGTTTTGCGAGAAAATAAAGTGAGATGTGGTATGGAGGTTTATTCTCCATTCACTTAAAGTTAGCTTTGAGAATTGGCAT